CTATATACTTCCGTATCTAAAACTAATACATTGATATTTTTTCCGGTAGAAAGAGCATGGTCTAACCCGCTACTTCCAATATCATAAGCCCATCCATCTCCACCGATTAACCAAACAGCTCTATGCACCAAATGATCTGCAAGAGAATATAAATGTTTTGCTTCGGGAGTATTTATTGTTTGAAGTCTGTTTTTTAATACCTCTACTCGCTCTCTTTGTTTAATAATTTGACTTTCTAATTTTTGAGGAGCATATATCAGGTCATTAACAAAATCTTCGCCTAATTCGGGTTTTAATTTTTCGGCATAATAATGAGCCATTTGCAACTGTTTATCGGCAGAAAGTCTCATTCCTAAGCCAAATTCCGCATTATCTTCAAATAAAGAATTGCTCCATGCCGGTCCTTTTCCTTTTGAATTAGAACTCCATGGCGTAGTGGGTAAATTTCCTCCAAAAATAGAAGAACAACCGGTAGCATTTGCAACCATTAATCTATCTCCAAAAAGCTGTGTAAGCACCTTTATATACGGTGTTTCTCCACATCCGGCACAAGCTCCCGAAAATTCAAACATCGGTTCTAAAAATTGTACGCCATGAACGGTAGAATAATTAATCATGTTTTTTTCATGATTAGGTAACTGCTCAAAAAATGAAATATCCGCTTTTTGTTCTTTAAGATTGGGATTTTTCGGTTCTATATTGATGGCACGTAATTCATTGTTTTCTACATCAATCACAGGACATACTTCATAACATAATTTACAGCCGGTACAATCTTCTTCATATACCTGAAGTGTAAATTTAGTTTCCGGAAATCCTCTTGCATTAATAGGTGCAGATTTAAAACCTTCAGGTGCATCCGCCAATAATTCTTTATTGTAAAATTTAGAACGTATAACCGAATGAGGACAAACAAAGCTACAGTTTCCACATTGAATACAAATATCGGGATTCCAATTGGCTACCTTATCGGAAACATTTCGTTTTTCCCATTTGGTAGTGCCGTTAGGATAGGTACCATCCACCGGGATAGCGCTTACAGGAAGTTCATCTCCCTTCCCTATCATCATTTTATAGGTAACATTTTTCACAAATTCAGGAGCGTTTTCATCTATTGTTTGTTCTTGCTCTTGTTTAGCCGTTATTTTATTTGGATGTTTAACTTCAAAAAGATTTTCTATAGTTTGATCTACAGCTAAAAAGTTTTTATCAACTACGGCCTGCCCTTTTTTAATGTAAGTTTTTTCAATGGCTTTTTTGATTTGTTTAATGGCTTCATCTGAATGTAAAACTCCTGAAAGTTCAAAAAAACAAGTCTGCATAATGGTATTTATTCTTCCTCCCATTCCTGTCTTATGGGCGACTTCATTAGCATTAATCACATATAATCTAATATTTTTGTCTATAATTTGTTGTTGTACTCTATAGGGTAATTTACCCCAAACTTCATCTTTTGAATAAGGAGAATTTAATAAAAATTTAGCACCGTCTTTGGCATAGCTTAGCATATCTTCATTTTCTAATAATTTAAAGAAATGACAGGCTACAAAATCAGCTTTTGTAATTAAATAAGGAGCTTCTATAGGTTCTTGGCTAAAACGAAGATGAGAAACCGTTTTTGCTCCCGACTTTTTAGAATCGTACACAAAATACCCTTGAGCAAAAAGTTTGGTATTTTCTCCTATGATTTTAATGGTATTTTTATTTGCACCCACCGTTCCATCAGAACCTAATCCAAAGAAAAGAGCTTGATTCCACTTGCTTTCGTCTAATGTAAAGTTAGTATCAACATCAATGCTCGTAAAACTAACATCATCTATAATTCCAACAGTGAAATGATTTTTAGGGGTTTCGGATTTTAAATTATCATAGACTGCTTTAACCATTGCAGGGGTAAATTCCTTAGAAGAAAGCCCATATCTACCGCCGATAACTTTTGGCATATTTTGTAAACTTCCTGCCGTAAGTGCCTCTGTTAAAGAAACTAAAACATCTTGGTAGAATGGTTCGCCATTACTCCCCGGTTCTTTGGTTCGGTCTAAAACGGCTATTTTTTTTACTGTCTTAGGTAGTGCTGAAATAAAATCTTCATTTGGAAAAGGTCTATATAATGAGATTTTAATCACTCCTGTTTTTTCTCCGTTTTTATTTAAAAACTCCATAGTTGGTATAACCGTTTCTACTCCGGAACCCATAATAACAAGGATATTTTCTGCTTCCGGATGCCCAAAATAACTAACAGGAGCATATTTTCTTCCTGTTAATTCATAGAATTTCTGCATTTCTTCTTTCAAAATAGAAGGAATTTTAGCATAAAAAGGATTAGAGGTTTCTCTGCCTTGAAAATAAACATCGGGGTTTTGAGCTGTTCCTCTCACAAAAGGTTTGTCCGGATTTAGACTTCTGTTTCTATGAGCAATTACCCATTCATCATCTATCATAGCTTTGATTTGGTCGTCACTTAATAGATTTATTTTATTCACTTCGTGAGAAGTTCGGAATCCGTCAAAAAAATGAATAAAAGGAATTCTGGCTCTCAATGTAGTCGCTTGGGTTATAAGTGCCATATCGTGGGCTTCTTGAACAGTTGCAGCAGAAAGCATGGCAAATCCGGTAGTTCTGGCAGCCATTACGTCCTGATGGTCTCCAAAAATAGATAAAGCCTGTGCCGCCAATGAACGAGCCGCTACATGAAAAACCGTACTGGTTAATTCTCCGGCAATTTTATACATATTGGGGAGCATAAGCATTAAACCCTGAGAGGCGGTAAAAGTGGTGGTTAAAGCACCTGCTTGCAAAGCTCCGTGAACAGTTCCGGCAGCACCTCCCTCACTTTGCATTTCCATAATTTCAGGAACGTTGCCCCATATATTTTTTGTCTCTTTTGATGCCCATTCGTCTGCTAATTCTGCCATGGTAGAAGAAGGAGTGATGGGGTAAATAGCACATACTTCATTTACTCTATAAGCTATATAAGCAGCAGCTTCATTTCCATCTATTGTTGCTATGTTTGAATTTTGATGATCCATTATAAAATTATTGGTAATTTATGTTTTTTTTATTCAGTAACCATATCTAAGGCATGGCAAGGACATTGTTCTGCACACACGCCACAACCCGTGCATTGATTATAATTTATGGTATATCCTTCTCCTTTGCCATTTTTAGAAATCGCTTGTTCCGGACAAGCACCAAAACAACTGTCGCACTCAAAACAATTTCCGCAGGAAAGACAACGTTGTGCTTCATAAACGGCTTCTTCTTTGGTATAACCGCCGATTATTTCATCGAACGTTTCCACTGCCTTTTCCATATCCAAATGTTGTTGTTGCTTGGTATCGGCATTTGTCTTAAACCAAATCTTTAATTCGTCTATTTTAACTACCGGATTATTAGGGTGTTTTTTATAAGTAGTTCCTCGTAACCAAGCATCTATATTGTAGGCTGCTTTTTTGCCGTGTCCGGTGGCAATAGTTACGGTTCTTTC